CGCCCCGGTCCACCACCTCCCCGATACCCCCCCCCGTACACCAGCAACTCCCCGATACACCCCCCGTACACCAACGACTCCCCAACACACCCCCAGTACACCGACGCCCTGACACACCCCCAGTACACCGACTCCCTGATGCACACCCGCACTGATACGCCAATGACTCCCCGATGCACCGGGGTCTCGCGGGAGGAACTTGCTTTGGCTTCTCTCGTCCTTCTCCGGGTAAAATCAAAGCTCCCAGAGCTACCCGGGGTGTAACGCTGACCCGTCCAGCTCCAAGTGGCCAAGGGGAGGCCCCTCATGGCCGCTGGGTCGGGCCCAGAAGCTGGGCCAAATTGTCAGCGGGGGAAATGCTGCTGGTCTCAATCCAGAGCTCCAGCCTCTGGAGATCTCCCCCCGCCCAGGGCTTCAGGGGCGAGCGCTGGCCAGGATTGGGGCGCCAGGGTCCCCGGGCAGCGTCAGGGAAACTCTCCCGAGGAGCTGGTTCAAACCAGTTGCCGGGTATTTACAGCGTGGAGAGATCGTGCGCCTCTGCCCCCAGCCCCGCCAGCACCCCCGGGGCCGAGTGGGGTTCAGTCCCTCCTACACCTCGTCCTGCTCAGATCTCAGCCCTGGGGTAGGACCTGGTTCCCGCGTGGATCCAACCTCCCACCTCCATCCCGGGACCCGCAGCTCAAAACCCCACATTTCCCAGCTCCGGGGTTTTGCTTTTTGGTTTTATTTGTGAACAAAGCCGACCACCGAACCCCAGACGAGCGGCGCGCCCAGCCCCCCGCGCATGAGCCAGGCTGCGAGCGGGTGGGGGAAGAGCCCAGGGCCGTGCCCAGAGGTGTCTCTCGCATCCCCTGGCTCCTCCACCTCTGTCCATGCATTTCATTTTGCTTTTGCATTTCTTCCCTGCTTAAAGCCCCCTCACCTCTGGGTCTTTTCCCCTCCGGACTACGCATAGCACGCATCTCCAGCTCCGCTGCCCCACCGATTTCAGAGGCAGGATTTTGTAGGGCCGCGGCCGTTGTCCCTGCAGGCAGACAAGCTTTCCAAAGCAAAACCTTCTTCCTGGGGTCTCCGCTACCGCCTCAATGGTCTCCAGGTCCATTCTGTCTCCCCCCGAACTTGCCCTTTCCTTCAGTCACTGAACGTCTCTCAAATGTCCCCGTTCGGAAAAGATCCTTTTTTTTCAAGCTAATTCCAAATATTTCTAAACCAGCAGCTTCTTCTTTGCCTTCTCCCTGGCAGCACGTGGACCTGCTAAGAGAGTTCCCTGGCTAAAAACTCCCTGAGCTCTTGGAAACGCGGCCTTGAGCGTCTCCCCGCCGGCGTTCTCGTCTCCGCTGGACGACGAGTGATCGGGTCCTCGCGACTCTTGTACGTGGCTGACGTCCCGGGATGGAGCAGCAGGGACACGAGGGGTCTCCTGGGCTGATAAAGGCATTTCTCTCTCCCCCTTTCAAACCAACGGTGGAGAAACTCCGTGGACTGGACCTGAAGGAAGGAAGGAAGGAAGGAGACTGGTTGAAAAGAAGAGTTTCTTTCTTTTTTCTCCTGTCTCTGGGTTGAGATTTTGGTCATTCTCTGTACCCTGCGAGCAGTGAAAGCTTCTCCCAGGATTTTTATTGTGTAGAAATTGTGTATCATTGTATTGTGTATAAAAATTGTGCGACCTTTTTACTGTGTATAAATTGCGAATCATTTTTATTGTGTGTAAAATTGTGTAGCATGTTTATTGTGCATAAATTGTGTATCATTTCATTGTGCATGTATTGTTTTTATTGTATATAAGATGTGTGTCATGTTTACTGTGTATAAAAGTTGTGTATGGTTTTTATCGTGTGTACATTGTGCGTTATTTTATAGTGCATATATTGCGTATCATTTTGATTGTGTACATATTGTGCATCTCCGCACCACCAGCTCGTTTTTATGCTATCCCGAGGTCAGGGTGTGGGTGGGGGGCGGACTCACTTGCGTTGCATCTGAATGGGTACGTGGGAGCCCCAGTTGTCCGGGGACCCGTCACCCCAGATCCTGGCCTTTATTTCCCGTCGGGTTTGAACGGCGACCGGGCAGGACGGGGGCGAGCGGCACATCCAACAGCGCGGGGAGCACACGGCCCGAGCCCAGCGCAGCTCCGTGCGTTCCCGTATTGCCTCACGTGCGACGCGCCCCAGAACAGAAGACACCCCTTCTTTGGAAGGGCAGGACGAAGAACACGTTCCCCTTGTACAAGCAGAGCCGCGGCGAGGGAGGCTTTCCTCCGCGCGGGTCACGGACAAGTTTACGTCCGTCTTACCCAACCAGCGTCAGAAATCGATCTTACCGTATTTCTTGCATACGAGACACCCCCCGACCGCCTGGTTTTTGCACGGAGGGGGGAGTGCACGAAGATATAGCATTTCCCAGGCTGTGCGTTCCCAGGGACCCCCAGAAGACTGCTCTTCCGGGCCCCGGATTAATTGCTCGTCACTGCCTCCTGAAGGGGCCCCGGCCCTCGGGGATGGGGTTACAGGAGCCGTCTGTCCGGGCGGGCTGGAGTGACAGCCCGGGGTCGCTAATCAGTCACCGGCTCTCAGGTTTCGCTGGCGCGTTTGACCCCCGCGCCCTCGGCACCGCAGGCCGGCGAGGATCCCGGCGAGCAGCTGGCCCCGCGGGGGCGCCGGGGCACGGATCACTCACCGGGCGCCAAGAGGCGGCCACATCTGGGGCGCGGAGGGCAGCTGTTTAGACAAGCATCACTCAGCCGGGGCCAGACCGCAGCCACCTCTGGGGGCCAGGGCCAGGGCCAGGGCCCGGCTCCGGCCGGCTGGGACCGCTCGCTCCGGGCTCAGATGCGGCCACCTCTGGGGGGCAAGTAGCAGCTGCTCGCACCGGCACTGGATGACCCTGACCCCCCCGGCCTGCCCCAGG